ACTTTCATAAGCTTCCTTAATTACCAAATAAATGATTGCTTTTAATTGATAGAGAGCATCTTCAACTACATTGGGTTCAAAGAACATTACACCTCCTCTCTTTAAGAGATGCATAATACCCAGTCTTAATCCATAAAATGTCATTGAGGGAGAAGATCTCTGTTCATTGGTCATCTCATTATAATGATCTTCATAATGAGCAATCAGTGATTGTTGAATTTCCTTAACATAGGGAAGCATCATTTCCTTCTCCCTCTTAATCTCATCATAGAATACGAAAGGAGTAAATTCATAACTTCATTGTTCTTCTATTGGAATACCAAGATGTTCATTCACCACCTCCCGATAGCTATCTACATTTACTTCATCTTGTATCAATTCGAATTGTTCTGTTATTGTTCCCTTACATAGAGGACTACCAAAGGGAAGATTAATCCTACAAATTTGTAAATCTTTATGCTCTACGACCTCTTCCTCTTCAAAATTTCCTTCGAATGGTGCAACTTCTTGTTGTTCAAGATAACATAAATGTGGTTTCCATGTAGCATGCTCAGAAAACACTCCTTCTGAAGCAAAATCCAATGGATTATTGTCCACTTTCAAACCATAGGTGAGTAAGTCCAGCAAGTGTTCTTCATATTCTAAAGTTTCCTCTGATAATAACATAAAGGTGGGAAGTAACATTCTTCCCCAAGCTTTGCATGTTTGTATACATGTGTACATTTCATCTATTCGCATGTACTTGGCAATAATCGAAAGGCAATCTTCACCAACATGCAACAGACCTCTTCTATTTAAAGCTGATTCTTGTTCAATATTAGTGTAAACGAGAAGACTTTCATTCAAATTAGTTTCTTCCTGATGATGAGAAGAAATATTGTCTTCATCACCAGTTTCTTCAACATCCTCTCTGCTTAATAGCAAATATTTACTAGGTCGAATATAGGCTGATGAATAATATTCCATCAATAAAACATTTCGATCTCTCTTCTTATTGATGACTGATTGTTTAGGAGGAAGAGTTTGATAAGAAGGTCGATGCACAACAACTTGTTGAGGTTGAGATATTGATACACGTAATTGACGCATTTTTCAAGCTTTGTGGTTAATGGTTGATCTTCAACTCATGAGTTGGTTAGGAGGAGTCGGATAATCACAGTGATTAATGTGGAAGTATACTTATTTAGAAAGATGAATAAGGTGTTGTTTTCGAAAATTGGTGACTTGAGGTATTGTTGTATTTAACACAGTGATGTATCAGTTGATAATCATTTCTATTATCCTCAAGACAACATAACCTTTCAAAAGACAGAAACTGATCATTTCTCTTAATTGATTCAAGAACAAAAAACAAATTTAGAATGCAATTATTTTTGTGATTTTGCAAACAATTTTCTATGTTTCACAAATGTATTAAGATATATTAAGGTCGACAAATGTTTTAAAAATAAACACAATCTTAAAAAAACATGACAACTATCAATAGTAAAGATCATCATCGTGGATATAATATCGAGGTGTACAACATTGAGAGGAAGGTCTCTATGCGTATTTAGAGATTTGATGAAGGTAGTGGAAAGGAAGAACAAATTGGTGCCATAGTTAGTGGCTTTTCCCTTAATTTCAAAAGAAGGCACAATGCACATCGTTTGTCACTGGTTTCGAGTGAAGATTTGTTTTATTCCCTTAGTTATAAACGAAGGCCAAGAGATTTCTATTCATTTTACAGTCATCAATATATTGTAGTTATTGAAGGATTGAATATTACACATGAGGATACTTCACAATTG